ACCACAAAGATTGGTTCAGGTGAACCAAACAGAAGCTGAATGCTCCCATTACCTAACATTATCTGACATGTCATCACAGATTTGTGACCAGACAGCTCGGTGTTGACACAGTGTGCACCTGTTGTGAACTTTTTTCCAAACAAAAAAGAGGACAATTGGACAATGCAATGTTGCCCCCTAATGCTGAATATTCCATACTGCAAGCTCCTGAAGTGGAAGAGCTTCAGCTCTGGTTTGATTGCAACAGCTCCCTGCTGATGTCAAAGGACAAGGACAAATTCAGAGAAATTTTGAGATTGCATAAGATGTATCTAAGTCATCTACCTTTCTGGAAAATATCTTTCTTTGATGACTACGCTGTTAAAAAAAACAACCCACTCACCTTGTCCCGTCTAGTGTTAACATGCTATAATGCAAATGTTGAAATCTTTCTGCTGCTTTTAGTGTCAGATTTCCAAAGGTGTGTCTTGGCTGATTCTATTTAAACCCTGTGGCACAAAACATCCACTTTATCCATTTAAGCAGCCCTGGCACACTTGCCCTTACACGCAATGGGGCATCACACGCTGAGAGGCGTTTTTTTCCATGACATGCAAACAAATAGGGTTTGTTTTAGTAAGCCCTCTGAGACTACTGTTCTGCTGTCTGCAGTCAGTCAAAGTGTGTCGACTTTTATTGTGTGCAGCAATTTAACCACTAGTTGTGTTTATGTTAATGTTGGGTATTGTATGAAAACATGTCAGTTGATGATGAAATGCTTTAATTTAAGTGAGTTCAATTTGGGGGGATTCAAATTGAAAAGACAGAATGACAAAATGTTAAGAAGCACTAAAGAAATTGTCATGCATATCTACTTATGATTTCTCCAGTACAGAGAAATCTTTGTGTTCACATGTTGTGGTGCTCAAGGGCAGGGAAAAGAGATAATTTACTGATACATATACATATGTAATACTGTGAAAAACTCTTAAGCCACCCTTGATTTCTTCATATTTTGTTGAAGAAATCAAGGGTGGTTTGGGGCACCTTCAGCTCTTCAGGCTGTATAAAAGTCTTTTAAAGATTTTCTTTGGACATTGGCTGCTTTTCCACTTATTTGCAGTCCAGCCTGTGTACCTGAACAATGTCAGATGATTTTTTTCTGTTTGTTTGTTTGATCATAAGTTATAGAACTTATGTCTACACACGGCAGTCAATATAGAAAGTACCGATTTTAAAGTAAGTCTTTGCCACGTAGCTAGTTGCAAAAACACTTCAGTTGTTCCCATTTCTTTAGCTGAATTTCTTTTAAGAAAAGAAAAAGGCAAAGATTCAGTTTTGGCAGGCATAAAATAGTATCTTTGTACCAACAGGGTTCAGTGCTGTAGATATTAGCTGAAAACTGTAAATATTTTGTATGCAGTGTGTCTTTTGGACAATTTGGATAAGTATAAGTAAGAAGTGGAAGGCCTAACAACCATCTAGATGAAAAGTATCTGAAAGTCATGTCCTGAGAGATGCATCTGGTCCTTTACTATTTATTGAAGTCTCATCAGAAATGGTTTCAGTGGAAGGGTGGCTGTTAAGAAGCAATTTACAAGGACGGGAAGGAAAGGCTGAGGTGTGTTGTATTACACAAGAACTGAAACAGGTCTGATGGAGTCATGAATCCAAATATGAAATCTTTGGTTCCAGTTGATGTCAGTATGCACGGATGAGGTCAGGGGAGCGGTGTATACAGTAATCTGTAAAACAACGTGGAGGCTGTGTCATGGTTTTGGCTCCATTTCAGCCAGTGGCTGTTAGAATTGCACAACGTCTGTTTTTATTGTATTCTTTCCATGTACATTTGCAGATGTTTCAATAGACTGTTGCACCCATTTTCCAAGAAAAATAAAAAGAAACGAGGGATACCTGACGACTTTTTCACAGTACTATACTTGTGTTGGGAATTTTTCAGCACAAAGTGACTCCACATCATAGTTGCCATTCTTTTATTGTTTTCTCTTGACTTGATAGAAACATTCCACCAGCAAGGCAAAGTCTAAATCAGGAGGACTCTGATTTCTGAGATGCTACAGTCTCGAGTCATTCAAGTGCTGTGCTGGAACATATGTACGGGGTATAGACGAGTTATTCAAGACAGGACAGGACAGGATACACACACATACATACCACAGAAAGGGTGCCACACCCACACATACCCACAAAAAAAAAATCATATCAAAATACAGTCAGAGCCTGTCATTTTGAAAATACTACAGTGTAAACTCTTTGCATTTAAATGATACATAACAGGAAATAAGTAACTTGGCTAATATTGTAGGTTTCAAAAGGTATAGGGAGGAAAAGTGAACTATAAAGTGTACTTCAGTTTGTCTCCTCAGTAATCCACTTCATTTACCTGATCATTAACACTTATGTGTAAATCACTCAAACACCATAAACACAAGACACAAACAGGCCATGAACATTTCCAACTTTTCAAAATGTGACACATTGAAATGTATTCACATGGTTATGTCAGCCAGCATAACAAGAACAGTATTCCTTCAGAAGGTTTCTTTGATTTGTGTTATAATCATACACACACACAAAAAAAGTAGGCAACTGTGAGCATGTTTACGCAGCCAAAAAGCCACACGATTCTTTTGAAATGCAAAACAGTGACTATATAAAACCAAAACTGAAGCTTTTTATTCAACTACGGAAGAAAATTCACATTCTCTAATTTTGTTTTATATTCACATTGCTGGCGCTACATAAAAATTTAAGATAAAAAAAAAATTAGGCATACAGTACATCTGAGTTATTTTCACAAGGTGACAGTCAGTTATCTGCATATACGCAAGTTATGGATCTTAGTTACACCTGCATGCAGCTTATGCTATCCAATTATTCTGGGAAAAAATTAGCCAAAAGTAAAGGGAGAGCAGATTTTTTTTTTTTTTTTGCGTTGCACACAGATTATTGAGGAGATCCTGTGAACAGAATTCTGCATAGTCTAAAACCACTTTGGCTACAGTGTCCTTAGTTGTAGCATCCCAAAGTAATTTTTATAATAAGAAAAAAAAGAGCCAAAAGAGAAATGTGATCAATTCAGGCCAAGTGCAACTGTAAAAGAACATCAGATATTTATATTGATCACACTGAAGGGAAAACTAGAACTGTATTTAGCAGTCACAGTTCAGCCAGAGAGAATTTTCTGCCTGGGATCATTTCACAGACTCATCTCTGAGCTGTTTATTTACTTAGATTCGTTGCTCTTGTTTGGATGGTTACTCTCCGAGGTGGTGGCTCCTCAATGCTCCGGTTGGCCACGAGGTCCTGCAGCTGCAGGGCTCCGCCGCCAATGAAACAAAATGCCGGACACACCGGAGCGGAGCAATCCACGTGTCCCTCCCATAGGATACGCAAAGAGTGGGCATCGTAGAAGGTGACTCGTCCTTTGTCGCAATCCAGACACACTCCTAGCCGAGGTGGCAGAGGAGCAGTGTGAGGGTGAGACATGCTACTGTGGCTGCTACTGTGGGAGTGCATTGCTCCATGGCTCTGGCTGTCACCCTGGCTCTGAGTTTGACTGTGTCCTTGAGGAAGCAGGATTTTGCCCATGCCCATAGTGAGGAAGCAGAATGGAGGGGAGTCCTGGCCATCCTCAGCCCCACTGTCATGGCCGCTGTCTGGGTCGCAGCTGGGAGGAAGCAGAGGTAAGGGCAAAACTTAGAGTAGACCTGATTCAGTTTCTTCTTCTTAAAATGCTGTTTCCAGCAGTGGCCAACAGTAGTAATGTTATTCATGTGTTTACAAGCTGTTATGTTGCCCCCAAGTGGTTAAAAATATATTTAATTTACTGGCATGGCTCCTATCCATCTGAATAAGAGGCATGTTACTGAATGGCAAATGAACTGGCTCTTATTTAGTGCTTTTAAACTTACTTGAGTACATGTCTCATTCACCATTTCATAAAAACAGTCATTTCCATCTAAGTTCTTTCAGTATGTTGCCCATGGATACTGTAGCATGCACACTGAGCAGCCAGAGACTGAACCAACAAGTTTCTGATAATAGAAACTAATAGATGGCCGGCTCTACTACCTCAGCCACAACCAGCAAGCAGCTCAAAATATAGGTGACAGGACACTCCTATTTCTATCATGGATCTTAATGTCATGGTAATTTGAGGCTTTTAATGATTTTTCCAGCATTGAATAACTATATAGCATACATGTTTAATGACTTCACATAACAAGAGTTGTGTGCATAAGTTTGAATGGGGAAGACCCAAACTGTCAACCTCAGATGAGAGGATATTGGTTAGCATGGGAACAACTCAGGAACCTCAGAGGCTCGAGTCTGGTATGAACTGGAAACTGCTGGAAAAAAAACAGCAAAAAACTAGTTTTACATCACCATGGAGGGTGCCAACTGAGAAAGACACCCCTGCTCCATAATGAACACCTTCAAACTCAATAGAAATTTGCGGCTGCCCACATTGACAAGCCTTCTGAGGAAAACTGTCACGCATGGTGGCAGCATCATGCTCTGGGGCTTTTTTGCTAGCAGTGGTACTGGAATAATGCACAAAGTTAATGAGATAATGACGGACAGGGACTACCTCCAAATTCTTCAACTTCACCTCAAATCAACAGCTTTATGATTTAAATTTGGACACAGTTTTGTGCTCCAACAGCAAAGTAATCCCAAACATACATCTAAACTGGTTGTGGAATTCAAAAAGCAGGCTAATATTAAGCTTTTAGAACGGCCTTCCCAAAGCCCTGACCTCAACACTATGCTTAAAAGCTGGGTTCATGCCAGGAAACCAATCAGTTTAAATCAACTCAAACACAACCCTGACAAGGACAAGCAGAAGACGAGGTATGTATGGATAGTTGAAAAGGGTAAGGTTTAGTTACCGAGGGCTGGCCATGTCCTGAGGGAGATGGAACCACTCTTGTAGCTTAGCCTCCTGCCCAACTCCTATCTGCAAATGAGAGGAGCAAAAAGAAAGAAGCTTTGGTCACATCCATTGTGAGTCTGCATGTAAAAGATTTTTTAAAAAGCCTTCTTCACAACATGATCGACAACACTTTCTCTTACCTTTACCAGGTAGGAACTAGGCTCTACAGAGCATGCCCAGTAGTGTTTGCCTTGAGTGACAGCCAAGTCTGCCACCAGTAAGTCAGAGGTCAAGTGGCAAGATGTTAGTGTGCGATCGGCAGCCTGCAGAAGGGAGAGGCCTGGCACACTGCGGGCGTAGGTTTGGCCTTTACCCAGTGCCAACCGGTCAGCATGCAAGCCCCAGCGAGAGTCTAGAGAAAAACTCAAGACTGGTAGGAAGGATAAAGAAGGAGAGAGATGACAAGAAAGGTAAAGGAAAGGAATCAGAAAGAAGGAAAGGTTAGATCCTGCAGCTCAGGCATAGAAAATGAAAAAGGGGCTAAGAGGAGCATGAGACAAACACATAAAGGACAAATGAAAAGAAAACTTTGTTTTCAAGATGAATAGTAAGAAACGGCTTTACAACAAAAACATGAAAAACGGTAAAGAGTAAAATTTGATTGGTGTACATATACTTTTTCAAATATGTTTATAATGACAAATACTTTTGAATGGAATATTATTTAGAATAATACCAAAAAGGAACAATGGACAAAATGTACGAACACAAGTGATTTTGGAAAGTGCAGAAAAACAGACCTGTGGCATATAAGACAGAAGCAGATTTAGTATGACTGGGATGGCACTGGAATGCAGAGCAAATAAAGGAAGGCTTTTGCAGAAACTAAAACAATGGGAATGGAGGAAATCAAGGGATGGAGAGAAAAGAAACAAAGATTAGTCAATTGGCTGAAAATGAGTACTGGCAATATGAATACTGGGGGGAAAACAGCTTTTGTTAATCTTAGAATTTAATTAAAAGAGTGGCAAGATGAACTTTTTGTACTGAAACAACTGTGTGTACACATCCTACCAGGTGCTGGTGGAGTGTGGAGGTAAACCTCTTCGCTGTACTCTCCAAAGCCAGCCTTGTTGCACCCTCTCACTCTCAGCACATACACGCTGTCCATCTGCAGTCGAGCGACCACAGCACTAGTGCCCTTCACTTCATCGATGCGCAGCCAAGCTGTGGCCGAATTAGGGGATCTGATGCCACCCCACGTGGCCGCAGCTCCTCCTGCTCGCCGCTGGTATTCAACAGAAAAGTGCCACGCTGGAGCTGAGTCCTGAGGGAGCCGCCAGCATAAAAAAAGCTGGTCGTAAGCTAACGTCTTCTGAGTGTCAATGACTGGAGCCAGTGGAGCTGTGGAGAAAAATTGCAAAGATATGGAGGTTAAACTATTCATTTTTAACTCTTTAACATACCATGTATTGCAGGAACAAAGAAGCTGACAACCCACATTGTATAAAGTCCAAATTGTTTATAATCTTGATCTCTTTGGATGCATCCAGGTGAAAGTGTCTGAAGGAGGGCTCGGCAGCAAGACAGAAACACTGGAGATTTTCTATAGCCTTCACCAGCCTGGAGAAATAAGATAATAAAATGAATTTAAGAAAATTCAAATAAAGGTAACAAATCGAACTGAATGAAAACGGCTGAATCTCTTACCTGTTGTGTGTTATTCTCGCAGCCTGCACAAAGCAGGGTGCATCCGTCTCTTTCAGCAGCTCTTGAGTGTAGACCATTAGACCGGCCTGCTCCAGCAGGCCTTGCTTCTCAAAGACCTGAGAGGACAGGGCCTCCTCCTTTCTGCTGCGGGATCCCTCCAAGGCCAAGGTCAAAGACCCCTGGCGCTCAGCTACAGCCGCTCCCAGCTCATGGATACAGTGAGTCAAGTGCTGTAGAGCCACTGCGCTGTTGGCCTGCAGAAAGAGAGAGGATGCAAAAACAGCTGGAAAGAATGAAGATTGGAGATACTGTTGCTATTCATTGAAAAATCACGATGCTTTTGGAATGGCATTTACACATTGTGTTGCAATTGTAGTTAAAAGAAAGTGGTCAGTTAAACTGAAGTTCATTCATATTTTACTGAAGCATCACAGTTCCTCTAAATTCGGTGAAATAATTAAATCTTTTTGCTGAGAAACTCAGGAGAAAGCTGCAGGTAAGATCTAGACAGTATTGATATCCCAATGACATATTTTCTGCTAAAAATGTAAAATGAACCCCCAAAATATTGCATTTGAAGCCCTAGCAAATACTGTTGCACCTGTACAAAGATCAAAAGCTACTTTAACAAAGCAGAGGAGAAGCACACCTCCATGTGTTTGATGGCAGCCTCCAGTTGAGTGATCTGACTCTGTATTGTCTCCTGGTTTGCCAAAATGAAGTTGACTTCCTTGGTAATCTTGTCCTGTAAAACCAAATAGAAAGCTAACACTGCTATGCTGCAATCACCAGGGCTGTAGCACAGTAAAAACATATTACCACCACCCTCAAAATCACCTTGAGTGCCTGGTAGGCTTGTGCTATAGGCAAAACTTTGTGCCCATGATGGATACGGCGTAGCTTACAAAGTGGACACAGCAGCCTCTGGCAGGTACGGCAGTACCACTGCAGTCTCTCCTGCTCATGCTCTGTGCATGTTAAAACCTATAACACAAAGGTGGGTTAATGTGCTGGAAGAGATGCAACTTTGTATCATGTGCGGAGATAAAAACAGAGACCAACCTTTGGCCTGAAGTTGTTGGTAGGTAGAATGTGTTCATGCTGAGCTCGAGGCGTTCCCCACGGGTGGTAGAGCTTGAAACACTCGTTGCAAAAGTTGGACTTGCAGTCAGCGCAGCCCTTGGTAGCCTCCAGAGACTGGGGAGGCTTACAGAAACTGCACATGATGGCTACGCTGCCCAGACTTACTGTGTGCCTGTACCTAAAGGACAGACATGTGTACATGGAGATAAGAGCAAGGCTGTGATAATTCTGCAGCGGCAAAGAAAGAAAGCAACAAAAAAAAATAAATGGGAATAATGAGCTTATCTGACTGTGGCCTGCTTTTTTCAGTAGTTAGGAAGGCAACTCTTCAACTGCCTGACCTGGATACATCACCAGCAGCTGCCATGTTAGTGCATCCTGCACAGTAAAACATGCACCGTCACACTTTCCCGACCAATAGCAGTGATTCTAGGGGAGGAAGCAGCGGCACCCAACAAACTGCTGTGTGTGAAAGTGTCTCTCCCTGTCTCACTGTTTCAGAAGCAGCTCCTCTCACTTTGATCTCCTTTGTTTGAACTGATAAGGGGTGGGGGAATTAAAAAGCCAGAGGAGTGTTTCAGTCCAAACAAAAATTAACAGTTTAACCAATGCTGCACTGCATTTTTACAGCTGCCCCTGCACTTTGCTCTCAGCCTTGGATCAAGAGTAAAGGAAAAGATCATTATTGCAACTCCTTCCAGCAAATGATTTCCTGTCTCATTTATAAAGCAGCACTGGCCTCACTCTTCATTCGCTGCCTTTACACATTGCCTGCATGACTGGTTAGAGTGCTTTTCCAAAACTATTACGGCTCTTATAATGCGACATTCCCACTGGATAAAATAAAGCCAGGTGACATGCATGGGGGAGCTAAAAGGTGTCTGCTCTTTCTCTGCCTGACCTGAGGTTGTGATGCTACAGCACTTATATGATATTCATGGGGTTGGTGCGTATACACACCTCTCCACAATGCGCTCCAGGGTGAGGTTGCGAAGGCAGTCTGTCAGGCCTTTCTCCCCGAGCTCTATATCCTGCTGACAGGAAGGACAGGGAAACAGCATGGGGGGATGGGTCTCCTTCCGCCGTCGCCCTGGGTATGTCCCGCACACTGGGAGAGTGATGCAGGTGTGGGGATAAAAAGGAAAGAAACACAGACACAGAAGAATAAAAAGCAAGGTTTTTAGAGATAGTTTATGAGGAATTTAACAAAGGCGGACTAGTGAGAAAAGGAAGGAAGCAAAACTCTAATTTGCCTCCACATTTGTGCAGATCATCATGAAAAATAAACTTCTACAGGAAAAACTATTTGCTTACATAGACACCTTGGCAACACACCTGCTCGGCAGATGCTTACTGCCTTTCGTGTCTCCTTGAGGGAAGGACTCTCGGACTCTATCTTCTTGCTCTACACACACTTAAATAAGTCATTAGATGAATCCATAAAGCTCTGGATGTGCGGCAGGATGCTGATGTGTCTGTTAAATCATCTATGACACTCTGAGAGGACAGTGACATCATGCCACGTCAACATCATCCTTGTTCATTTGAATGCCAAACACACACACACACACACACACACACACACACACACACAAACCATTTCCTTTACCTGTTCTAAGGACCCGCTCCAGGCGATCAGGCGTCCTGGGAGCAGGTCTGCGTGTCTGTCGTGGGGATCGGGTGTTGGGTGTGGAGGATGGTGAGTAAGGCTCTGGAGGGAGATCTGGAGGAGGATAGCCTCTTTGTACCAACACCTCAGCTGCACAAAGCAGACACACACTGTGCTGGCAGGGCAGGATGATGGGCTGCTTCACCATCTCATCACACACTGGGCAAAGCAGCTCCTGTTCCATGCTCTTCATGTTGGACTGAAGAGGAGGACGAAAGAGGCTGAAGACTAAATAACAGCTGAATCACTAGAATAAATAAGGAATCGGCTGCTCTATACATTCTGTGTCTTGTGATATAATGTATAGTCAATGTGTAGGAGGCTGGCATTGAATATACAGAGAGCAGAGAAGGCCAACGTGGATGAATAAATAGCTTTCCCCTGAATACTCATCTAGCTTTACCTGTAAAAAAAAATTAGATGCACTTTACACAACTCAGAGAAGTACAAAGCAGTGAGATTTTTAAATCTGTAAAATGAAAATGCATTTTTCTGCTCATTCTGTCCACCAGCATCAGTTTTACTGGTTCTGGAGGCCCCTTTCTATTGCTGCAGCTACTTAAACGCAGCATCCCGTTTCTATGACAACGTGCATCTTTCCATCATGTGCATCACGAGTATTTTAACCTACTACTCGCCAACATATTTAATTGGTTTTAATGCTCAAACACTCATTTGATCTACTAGAACTTTTTGTTTACTTAATTAATGCATTTGTGGTCACAGTGGCCCCGTTTTACGTTTCCAGCCACAGTGCTAGAGCATTGCCATTTCTCGTTGATTCAAGATGCAAAAAAAAAAAAAAATAGCTTCCAAAGGAAGAAATGCTACACATTCCTTCATCATCAGCGCACATATGTGCAATATGGAAAAGATCCACAGGTAAATGCACAGGTGGTAAACAGATCGCTTTTAAAAAGAGTACACATGGTTAAAAAAATGGCTAATAAAATGAGCGTCACACTTACACTGATGCGAACCAGCGCGTCCATGATAGATGTAAAGGTTTGTAAGTCCGCTTCTGCCATACTCCCTAGATGCAAATGCCTCTGCGATACAATAACGGATCGCCTTTTTTTCGTCTGGAGAAAGGCTGAGCAGGGTTACCGTACCGAGGTATGGCAAGCCCGGGCCTCGACCTGATGTAGCCGTGCTAGAGGTGTGTTTTTGCACACACGCCGATTCAGTGCCGTCTGTCTCAAAGCAACGAGTCCACTCCACGTAGCAATCAGATGGGAGGAGGGGGGATTTGTACTGGTTTAGGCTACAGCTGCCACAGTCGCATTGCTCAAAGACCGATTAATACAATTAGAATGGAACTTGGCACTATTATATTCGAGCTAGATTTATTTTATTTTAATGTATGACAAACCTTCAAATAAAAATGTCCGATTACATATTAACATTTATACAATTACAGCATTTTATAGGGTTTTTCACGCATGGCATTCTGGATGTGTGTCTAAAACAGCTTAAAACAATTTGCAGTTCAGTTTTTCGAAATAAACCTCCAGCTCCTTGAACGTGCAGCTCCTCCGTAGTATTTATATGTTGATACATATGCTGGTGGCAGTTTTTCGTTTTGCCATTAGATGGCAATGTTTTATTTTTTCAAGCACACACACACACATACACGAGTTCTTAAATTGTTGTTCCATGTCCGGAACCTTTGTACGTTGCTCTTTCATGCGGTGGGTCAGTAATACTGGATGCACCCGTTCGCTGGTTGTTGTAGCAACCAGAGCATCCGCCTTTCGTGTAATAATCACAGCAAGGGGAAATCGGATGAATTAGTTCGTATTTTATATGGAATACGAGTTAAATCAGTGACATGGGCGGATGTGTTTATGCTGCAGTTATCTTATTTGTACTTTTTGCTATCTTACAGTAGCTACTATGCGCATTTGAATCGCCGAAAAGCTGCATTTCCCGTCCAGCATTAGTACCGTAGTTTTTCTGAATTGTTGTCTAGCTATACTTTATTCAAGCATGTCGGCGGTCAGTAGCCTCGTCCCCGCACGATTTCTCACCATCATAGCTCACCTCGTCATCGTGGTCACAATCTTTTGGTCGAGGGTAAGTAAGCAAGCACGGCAAACAATTTTTTGTATTCTGTGATAACTTGTTGTAAATATCCATGAACACAATAAAGGGTGACGATAATCTGCAGATACTGGCACTGAAGCTCGACAGGAAAATTAAAAAACAACAACAACAACCAAAAATAAACTAAATTTTAAAATTTTAACATGTGAGAGACCTCAGAGTTTAAGACTTAAAAAGAAGAAGACATAATTAATTTCTCCCAATGCGCTAAAGAAAAAAGAATTGCCAAGGTAGAAAGTAATTCAAATTCAGATTCAAATCTGGACTTACAAGATGTACGAAACAAAAAGAAAAATAAATGAATATGAATAATCTTTGTCAGGTGATGAAGTCAGGAAAAATAAATAAATAAAATAGAAATAAATAAATAAAAAACAAGAACTGGAGCAGCTGCATGGCATCAGGAAGCCAAAGATTTTGATGTCCACCAGAAACAATATGATAGAGTCCAAAAGAGAAACTGTGGTACTTCATGAGAAACTCAAGGACTAGCATGAGGGTGATGCAGGACATGTATGAGGACAGTGAGACATGAGGTGTCTCACTGTGTGGTAGGTGTGACAGGTTGAAGGTGATGGTGTGATTACATTAGAGGTCTGCTCTGAGCCCCTTCTTGTATCCAGTGGTGATAAACAGGCTGGCCGATGAGATCAGGTATGAGTCTTCGTGGATTATGATGTATGCAGACAACATTGTGATATGTAGTTAGAGTAAGGATCAGGTGGAGAAGTGGAGCTATGATCCAGGGAGAAGAGGAACACACGTGTGTGAATGAGAGGTGGGCAGATGTAACAGTGATGCTGCAAGGGTGTAGCAGTGGAGGTGGATGAATTTAAATACCTGGTTTAGAGGTTTGGAGATAAAGTCAGAGAAGCAAGGCTGATGGGGTTGGGACATGTGCAGAGGAGAAATAGTGGATAAATTGGACAAAGGATGTTGAAAATGGAGCGAGTCAGGAGGAAGTTGTCCATGACAACAGAAGCATTGGAGTTGACACTGCTTCTTTTTCCTCATGTCTTAAGAAGTAATTACACCAATTTGTAACTTTTACTTTACAGGAAAATAATGTGAAAGCTTGTTTGCCTTTGGATTTCACACAGGAGCAGTATGACACTGAGGACAGACAGTAAGTAAATATTTTAAACACATTTGACACATTTGTGTACACATCTTCCAATTTATTATATGTATTCTCTTTTTCAGGTTGGTGGTGGCATTATCAGTGACACTCGGTCTGTTTGCTATAGAGCTGGCTGGTTTCTTTTCAGGAGTGTCCATGTTCAACTGCAGCCAAAGCCTCCTTTGTATCCTTTTCACTCACATTTTACACTCTTATTTATTGTCTGTGTTTTGATTCCAAATGGTTACATTTATTACTTATTATGTATATATATTCTACATCCTCTATTTGTGACTGGCTGTCCTAAAACATGCAAATACACCAAATAAATATAAAGCTTGCATAAGCTTGCATATAAAGCAATAATTTCAAAAGTGCTTGTGATCAGTTACACTTCCATGACTATCTTTTACCTGGTATAGCAACAGGAGTCCATGCCAGTGCCTCAGTGGCTCTGCTTTTCTTTCTATTTGAGCAGTGGGAGTGTCACATCTACTGGTGGATCCTTGCCATCTGCAGGTTGGTGTACAAGCTTGCTCAATGTTGTTGTATTTTTCCAAAGTTCTTTTCCCTGACTCACGTTTCAACCAGCACTGGCTGCCCATTGCAGTGGATCAGTGTCTTTGTCTTTTTTTGTGTTTGAAAAATGGGAATGCTGGACTTACTGGGTTATTTTTGCCACCTGCAGGTTGGTGTGTATGCCTGTTGATGTGAATATTAGTATTTATGTCTCTAGTTCAAAGTGGCATAGCCTCTTTTAAGCATTATAAGCAGAAGTATAACCTACATTGGTGTCTCTCTGGCTCTTCCTTTAGTGTTCTACCGGCTTTAGTGGAGATTCTTCTGTTCATAGCAGTTTTTGGACTGAAGAAGAAGCCTTTATGAAGGAAAGTCCGGATGTAAAATGGTACAAACCGAGATTGGATGTAGACATCTGTCAGTTTGTTAACAGATATACTGTAGCGACAGAAAAAGAGTGGATACCAGACGTATATCAGTACAAAACTCCAACAGTAAGGGATGCATAAAACACACTTTTCAAAATGTTTTTTAATCTATTTTTGTGTATTTTGAATAAAGTTGATGCAGCATACGTTTTTACCTTATGTCTATTTTTGTATGTTGGAACTGGAGTGTTTTGTTTATATAGTGTGTTTGTAGTGTCAGTTACTCTGTAAAAGTAAATAAAGCTTGTAATTATTTTTGTTGCTTTGGTTGTGTGTGTGTTAAAATTATTTCTTTCAGCTTGTTCTAGTGCATCTACTGCAAAGTGTTTCTTGGTAAATACATTTAAGTTGTCATTTCTGTTGAAATAAATTGAAATCGAGTTAAATTATTTAATGCTAGCATAATTACACACTTGTTCTGAACTGTACCATGAAGTTCTACTTTTAGAAGTCCACAAAACATATAAACATAATGTATATAACGTATGTGTGTGTGTGTGTATTTAGACGATAGAAATGTAGTTGTAATGCAAACACATAATTGTATTTTATAAATGTTTCGATTTGAACTTTAGTGGAATCAAACAACCATTATTTGGATTTTTATTCTTTTATTGATTTTTTTTTTCACCCGGAGAGCTCATGTGGCTCCTCCCACCGGTCCCACCTGACTTTAGAGCCGGGTAATCAGTTTTTTAGTTCCTAGAGCCGGGGCAGCTAGCTGGCTCGTCGAAGTTAAATTTAATTTACTGGTGCTTCGTCACGGGGACTATAATTAAGTATTACAGTATGGGTATGTATTGCATAATTATCAATAGACACATCGTCAGCACAGACATAGATGTGCAGATATCCTCAGTCTCAGTGTGCAGTCATGTCTTATAGTCCTGTGTAGCTAATGTTAAATGTAAGCCACGCTAACACAGATTTCTTTCTTACAGTCTAGCAATCCCGGCGTTACTGTAAAGTACCAGAAATGTTTTTATGTACTGAGTATTTAGGAAGTATAAAATTGAGGGGTGTTTTGGTGCAGATGTGAGTTGATTAGCACAGAGCTAACAGCTATACGTGGGAAACGTTATGCGTGAACACTGACGTGGCGTTAAGTTCCAAGGCGTATGACTGCCCAATTCAAACGAGATATGACATTTAAAGCCATCGTTTACTTTCGGTTGCATTACAGTTCTATACTAGATAACTCTTTAGCCTCAGATAGCCTCAGGTTTTGTCCAGATGACAGTTTATCTCTGTTGTTTGTAGCGGTGAACACTGGAACCTCCCTGGTGCTATCCAGTCTGCTCTCCGTGCTGGTATTCGCGGGGATGCAGATGTTCAGCAAGCAGCTGGCATCCACCGAGTGGCTCACCATCCTGGGAGGTTTTCTGGGCTCAGTCCTCTTCATCTGCTCCCTGACTGTATCCTTTAAGTGACATGTAGAGTTGAATTGCTTTGCCAATGTTGTTAATCAGTAAACTGCACAGTTCTTTTGGAAATTGGTATTTATTGAACAACTTTCAGACTTTTATTATATATTCTCCATAAAAATGTCTCGACGTCACTGAGGAGAGTCGCACCTTAACTTTGGCTTCAGGCATTTAATAATCTGGAAAATTTGGTTTTCGGAAAGGGATTCCAGGCCAAGATATTCCCTGAGAGTAAGTGATGATGGCCCATGCAGTGGCCTTTTTCTTGTTCACATGGTGTTTAATATTTCTGCTGAGTCAACTGTTAGCTCAGCTTTACCTGAAACATCAGAATTGTTTATACCAAACTGTAGCCTAGAAATAATAGGTGGAAATCTTGGTTGAGGTTAGAGAAGCCAGGTAACCCAGATCCCTGGTTTAAGTCCCTGTTCAGGTGAAGCGATCTTCTCTGAGATGTTTGATTTTGTACACAAACCCTGCAAAAAATAATCAAGAAGCAAAAGCCTGGCTAAATTAACAATAATAAAGCTAAATTGTTTCTCTCAATATATAGCCGATGTATGCTGGTTTCTGCAGGCTGAAGAGCAGCGGTCAATATGGGAATCAACATCTGCAAAGTAATTTAGTGTAACACAGTTAACATGCACTTACAGTGGTTTGCTTCTGATTGCCACAGCAAAACCTGTTCAGGGTTTTTGTGCCTGTTAAAATGCTAATTATAAATACTGCTCCAATCAATGTCAGTAACGCAGTCATTACAGTAAAAATAAGCTGAAAAATTCACCGGAAATGCAACGTCTTCACTAAATGTCTCACTGTCGAGTTCATGTGCAAATATAAGAATCTCTGAAGAAGAAAATGTAAAGTGCTTATTTGATAAGGAGCATTTTTTTTAATGTTGTTAGGTAGTCCTAAAATAAATTAAAACATAAAAAAAATTCATTTTAATTATATTAAACATCTTGCTGATGTTAAATCTACCACGTCAGGTAAACCAGAACAACAAAACATTTGAGCTAATGGAGAGAATAAAAGTTAGATAAATGTTGACTCAGACAACAAAATAGGGTGGTGCTGATGATGATGATTAGTAGTAGTAGTAGCATTTATAAGTGGCAGCTGGTTTCTGTGTGTGCTTTAGTTAGCCAAGGTAAATAAAACACAGCACTGCTACTAGACTTGAGGTGAGCTCATGCACTACCTCTGTGCAGGACGGCTCTAGGCTTCCCACACTCACACACACACACACACACACACACACACGCAAATCTTTTGACTGGATGGGCAAGATGCTAGTTTCAATGAGCTGAGTCTACCCTCTGGTCCAGATTTGAATATCCTAATGACAGCCCATGCAAATTTAAAATAACATTCTAACATTATTACCTCTATGCACATCTGTATGCTCATATTAATGCTCATCACTTATATGATTTACTGTGTCATCTTGCAGTTCTGCTGTGTCTGTGCCTTTCACTGTTTGCCTCTGGCCTGGTACACCGTGTCTGTGTCACTACTTGGTAAGTGACTCCTCTGCAGAACACGCTTACCCAAAGCATCTAGAAAGCACTTCTAAATGTATTTGATTATTAAAATACTTCTTTCTTTTTTCCTGTTCAGCCTCATCTTTTCCCTCTTTGCCCTGTACTACATCAACAAAGTGTCTGCCGCCCTCTACCAAGCAGCTGTTCCTGTAGTAACACCAGCCAAAGCTGGCAGCAAGAGCAAAAGGAAGAACTAAAGAACCCACTGGATCACACTTGTATCACACTTCGACCAGTCATTATTCCCCAGGTGCTGGTGGTCATTGCTACACAGCTGAATGCAGTTTTGTCACAATGATCCTTTGTTATTAGGCTTTTTTAGGTATATAAAATTTGGTTTGGGGTTATTATTTTAAGTCATCATTTCATTGAATACAAGCCTGTAGTAGTTAATCTGGTCCTTTGTTTGTATATTTTTTTTATTTTATAGTTCTCTTAAATTTGAATCATAAAGAAATGGTAGATATAAGGCCAAACTGTGTTTTATGTTCCATCCCTTTCTAATCAGCGCTCTTTTTAAAAAGGTTGCAGAGAGATTCTTTCCTCCATCACAGCACCTGTGTATTCAGTTTTCTTCTGTTTTGTTTTTTCAAATCCATTTTTGTAATTAAACTTTCTGAAAGACTTTCAATGTGTTGTGCTTCCTTCTACCTTTGCTCCGTTTGTAATTTGCAGTCTAGCTGTGTGGGGATGTAATAAAATCATGATATGCAGTGGCATATGTGTAAATATTCCTTGTGCAGCCATTCCCATAGTCAAGAGTGCTACAGCCCACTTATTTTTCTGTTATATACTGAAATATGCATTTAAAGAGGACAGCAGTGGTGTAAAGGTTAGCAAAAAGCACTGGTGGCTCTAGTGCTAACACAAGAGTTTAAAGTTTTAGTTTTCACTTTTCTCTCAGCTAAATTTGTGTCTGTCTTTCAATTAGTTGCCAGATTGGGTTGGATGATTTTGTTTGAGTTTTCAACTTTTAGGAAATATTTAGTTTTTATTAGCATCAGTAGGAAAGTTAATGCTTTTTTTATGTTAATATTGATGAGATATATGCTAACAGAGTAATTTTACAAGTTCAGCACAGAGAATTTAAGGACAACACTTCTTGAAGGTATTTGATGCGGACACGGAGAGAGCCTTGACTGAATAAATCATGCATCAGGTTGTCTTCATGCTTCTTCGACCAATGTAGTAGCAGTTTTCTTTCAGCTTTGCAAGTAAACAATGTTGTTTTAGATTTCATTTTTCTGTAGATCATTTAAAAATTTTCATTCAGTTTCAAGTTTTACTTCAGTTTTCAGTTAACCATAACAGTCTTCAGGCCCTTCGCTCCTCGTCTCCTTGGGGAACAGGAGAGAGTGAAATCACAGAGGAGCTGTTGAGCAAGTTTTAAAGGAACTGCCAAGTGACAGTAAAGGGTCAGTTTGAACAGGGTGCTCCTGCACTGCTGCTGAAAGCGGTATCTGGGAATAAACTCGCAGTGGAGATTCCCCATTGTCCACAGCCTCACACTCCCTTCCCCCGGCTCGCCTTGTTTTGGGAGAGCATCCTGCTGCTGTCATGTATCCAGGTGTGCCGACTGTTACAGGTAAAGAAGACGGCCCAGTGCAGACTTGCTTAGTCTTAGCAGGTCCCATCATACATGCGTTATTCTGCTTTGTGCCATCTTTTGTTTTACTTTGATGATGAAACACAAACAGAGTGTAGATTTTTGTGAGGTAGCATCTTCATGTCAACGCCTTCTACGTCTTGCAGTAACTGTGGGAAAAAGGGACAGTGTTCCTTTATTTGCTCTCCCTGCCTCTCTGTATCCCTCCTCCCTCCCATCACTTGGGCGTTGCCTAGATGACTATAAAGTGTTGAATAAACTTTCAGTCAGCCCACGTCGAACTCCACTGAAGCTCTGCCACAGTTTCTGCATCCTCGTGATCCGGTAAGGCTATTAAAACTTATTTTAAAAAGTTAGAAAGTTGGGTTTTTGTTTTTTTTTTCTTTTTTCCATTGAATGTTACGTTGGGTGGGCTGAGGTGCTGTTGGTGCATTACGTAGGATTTTCCTCCTTTGCTATGCCAGGACTGGGTGTCTCCAAAAACGTTAGGCCTATTTCTCTCTAGTCTATCTTTACTGTGTGTTTGTGGGCCTAGTTTTTTTGTTTTTCTGAAACTGAACCACTAAGTGTTAAAGTTTATAAAGAGAGGGGAGGTAGAACCCATATATGGATTTTGGGTTTGGGGCCAGAAGGTGATTTGCGCCAGAAGAATTTGCTTTGAGTGCCAGTAAAAACCAACACCCACATCCTCTTCAAACAATGTGCTGTAACCTAATGCTTGGCTGCATGTTTCACTCATTTTTCTCCAATGTGAATGTAACAAGCCAACAGTAAAAGTTAGAAAAACACTGTTATATTTATGTCCATTCCTGCCTTTTGTCCTTTCAGCACTCATTTCTGCAACCATGACTGAGTTGGAGAAATCCATGGAGTCCATGATAACCGTGTTTAACAAGTATGCCCATGATGGCAAACACGGAAAGGCCTTAACCAAGAAAGAACTAAGAAAACTAATTGAGGCTGAGATTCCCAACTTCCTGAAAGTAAGGATCTTTTTTACTGTCATACCTGATCTCTATCCTCAGTGTGAATCATTGTCCATATTTAAGTTAAAAATGTTATTGCTCATGCGCTTTGCACCCTGAACCCGTCTCTTGTTACATCTGTTTCAGAACCAGAAGAATCCCAACTCCGTGGACCATATCATGAAGGATCTGGACCAGAACAAAGATGATGTCTTGGACTTTGAAGAATTTATGCCGTTCATCGCCGGCCTCACAATGGCCTGTGAAAAATATTGCTCCATGAGTGCTAAAAAGAAGTGAAAGAACTGATGTGCAAATACGCTGCAAGAGAAAATAATGCTTGTCTTTTTTTTCTTTCTTTTTTTGTAACAGATAAAGTTGATTGTGTTGCACAACTGTGTGCCGGATTTACAAGTAAAAACTGCTTTTGACAAAATTTCCCCGACTGTGTGTTTGGCTACTTTGATGTAAATTTTATTCAAAAACATTGGGTATGCTAGAGTTTTAGCTACTATCTGATAGCTGACTTCTGCAACACATGTAAAACTAGAAGATGAATTTGAAAGTAGTGAGAGTATTCATGAATTAATATCTAATGTGCAACATTTCACTTCTCATTGAAAGTTCAACTGAGGCAGCAGTTTCTACACAGCGTGAGGGGGTAACTGCTTCTATACAGGAACGTGTCAGGATCAGATGTTTGTGCTAAAAAGCCTGAAGTGTGGTGCAGCACACATGCCTGTGAGGCGTGAGCTCATGATTTATTTAGGGTGGGTCAAATAAGTAACATTTTTGGAGATGGTGGAGTTTCTCTCACAGAACTCCTCCAGATGAGATACAAACTGCGCTTTTTGAACTTGGTGCAGATCCATCTGGTAAACATTAACTACTTGGCTCATTACAAGTTTGGAATTCCACCTTTAAACTGACTGAACTCCAGTTCAGTAAAAATACAAATATATTGTGCACACAGGCATACACACTAAGTAAACGTTAACATGCTCATTACACTGTGAAGGATCTCTCTTACTGCAAACATATCAGACCACGCTTGGCCTTTGCAGTGTTTTCAGTCTGCCAACTACACACACATCAATATGTTCTGTGTGCTTCACAGTGTATACAGTAATCCCCTTTTGAGAGTTCATTTTAAAATTATTTTATTTGTTTTGAAGTCCTTAAACAGTCTCGCCCTGCCCTATCTCTCTGGGCTGCTGCACTCGGACTCCCCTTCCCGCTTGTTCACCTGAGCTTACCAGCTGCTCCTGGATGTGCCGAGGACACAGCAAAGGCTCTG